GGCTGAGAGGGGTGAAGTCACACAGTGGCTGGAACTTTTGGTCCGCTGCCCCAGGCCTCTGCTGCTAGAGCCCTCAGGGGGAGGCTTAGACCACCGGAGGACCAGAGAGGTGGCAGCTGGAGCGGGGCCTGTCTTCATGAGCCCACTCCCTCATGTAATGTCTTTATTCATAAATTACTACATTTGTCAGAGCTGTTCAGGGGCAGTATTCACTCTTCATCGATAAAATCTACCACCCAAAGCATTGCTACTTGACACTCTTTTCTTTTTGCACCCACTCTCAAGGCCTGTTTCTTCATTCTTTACCACCGAGCTCAGGTGTGACTTCCTTTGGAAGGCTGCTTCTTCCCAAACTCCCTACTCCTTTGTGCACTGGTTGTCACTCCCTGTGCTCCTTGTAAGCCTTTTACAAGCCGTTTTATCACATCTCTCAGCCCCTCTTGCAGGAGCTCTTTACCTGTTTTGTGCCATGGACCCTTTTGGCAGCCTGGGAAAGCTTATGGTGCACAGGGCTCGCCAGGGAACTGACAGCAGCAAGGTGAATGGTGTCCTCCCGGCGTTCTGAAATACAGTGGGGCCTTGACTTACTAGTGTCCCGACTAAAGCTTTGTTTGAGATACCAGCTGTCTCTCTGCTGATTTTTTGCTTTGAGTTGACAGAGTAATTTGAGTTAACGAGCTCCTTAACGATCTTGGTCTCGGAATGAATTAAACTGGTAAGTCAAGGCCCACTGTAGAGATTTTGAATCCTGTCTAATCACGCTTTGGTCCATAACATTTGAAGCTTTCGACATAGCTTGAATTTTGTATTCCCTATATGAGTCTGTTATCTGCTTTAAAAAAATAATGATAAAGGAATGTATTTCCACTGTTCTGTGACATAAATGCATTGGTTTGTCTGTTCTATATGTAGGCCAAAACAACTTCATGAAATCCAGCCTTTTACTATCCTGACAAAAACAAGGTGAATTTCATTCCTAAAAGCAGCTCTGCTTTCTGCCTCGTCAGCATCCTCAAGCCACTCCTTCCCACGCCAGATCTTACTCTCAAGGGCTCTGGCCACAGCCTGACAGTCACATGATCTGCCTTTGCCACAGGTATCATCCTACCTTTCATCATCACTGTATCACAGTCCCAGAGATCCTAAATGACAGTGCATGGATTTCCTCCTTTGCTTTTGTGATGTTGTTGTCTTGTGGACTTGGTCCAGGTTAGTACTTTGCCAGGAGCCTAATCCATTGAATAGCAATCCGTAGTCACAGAATCTTGGGACTGACATTTTCTTTATGTAGTTGGCACTGAGATGTTACCTACAGTTTTGCTAGTTGTGTGTCCAACATTCCACACAGTGGGGAGTACAGGCAAAGGAGAGCTTTGGGGCATAAGCAACAGGAACCTTTGAAAAATCCATCCAGTTTTGGATTTAGGCTCATCCTAATACAGTTACTGCCAGTGTCCTGTGTCAGCAGTATTTCATGTCTGGGAGTGTGGTAGTAAAATTAAGGAGCAGCTCTTTTAAAGGTGAGTTCCAGCAAACTGTGTTGGTAACCAGCATCCTTCTGAGGTCTTCATATACTACCTTATGATGCAATGATGTAATGTTCTTATACATTTTAAAGGGAGAAAAAAATTTAAATACTTGTAAAGGGGATACAGTAGAAAGGGTTAACTATGTCAGTTTATCCAGACATATCCCGTCAAGGAAAAACTAGTGGCAGCAATACATCTTCTGAAAGGACTTCTTATACTCATGCAGCTTTAAAATATCTAAGTAGTTGAAAGCATGCCCTGTTAAAGTTAAAATGAAGATGTATTTATGGAAGTTAGATAAATTCAAACATAAGTCTGTTAGGTTAGTTGGTGAGTCTGTTGAATTTTGGTACAGTGGGGCCTTGACTTATGCTTGTCCCGACTAACGAGTTTTTTGAGATACCAGCTGTCTCTCGGCCGATTTTTTGCTTTGAGTTGACAGAGTAATTTGAGTTAATGAGCTCCTTAACGAGCTCGATCTCGGAACGAATTAAACTCATAAGTCAAGGCACCACTGTACCTTTTTTAGTCAAAACTAATTTACTTGGAATTAGTACAGGTGGCTTGTAAGTCACTAATAGCCCAGTTATTCGGGATCTAAATGTTCTGCTTGGTTTACTGAGAACTTTGATTCTTTGCCTTTGACTTTACCATTTCACCACAGAGAACTGCTCTGTCAGCAGTACAGGAAAGGTAAAACTGAAGTCAGGTGAGTTAGTGTAAAAGGCAGGAAGAAGAAGTTCAAGACAATGTTAAAACACACACACACAGCTGTTTTTGGATTACTTGAGTTCTCTTAAATCCGCGTTCTTTTCTTTGCGTCACACTTAACTTTCTTGTGTCTCCATCCCTACAAGTTATGTGGGTATATTACAGCTAGAATGCCACTTTGTAAAGTTTTTCCTTTTACTCTGTTGTGCATGTTGGTCTAATTCACGTTTTTCTGTAGAGTTTCATATATCCTTAATCTAAAGTAATTTAAATAGGAATGGGATAACTTTATTATTTACATAGTCTTGTAAATGGAACTTGTAATATCTGGTTGTAAGGAGAATGTGAATTTGTAGGTAAATGAATTGTATGGCAACCAAGCATATCCCGTGGATTTGGGAGAAATAGAGCCTGACATTTGATGAAGAAGGAAAAAAAAGGTGCAAATTACAAACAACTTTAACTGCCAGTGCCAAAGGGCTAATTTTAAATATAGGAACTTCATCGCAGTATAGAAAAAATACTAATCTTAGGTCCATTCCACTTTAATTAACCCTTAGTTCACAAGGGTTGATTTTTTTAAATGGGTCTCAATAGTGTTTTCTAAAATTACATTCTATAATTGTTATTCTATAGAAAACTGTACAGGAAGTAAATTAGAATAACTTCAATGGGAATATAACTTACATTTTTTTTAAATTTAAAAGAAATATGTTTCCATTGCAGTAAAAGAAATAGGTGGTATGTATATTTTGGCAAAAGGAGCTATTCTGTGGTTATTTACTTTATCAGTCTTAAGTTATTATTTTACCCTTAAAGAATTTGTGATAAAGACATGTAAATTTACTGGTTTTGATCATGACTGAGTCTGTTGCTTATCATGTGTTTTATGAGCAGTTATGTTTTTAAAAAGTATTGTTTTTCCTTTTTGGTTAATATTGTGAGCATGGATGCCGAAATTATCTTTGCTCTAGATTCTTCCTTTTGTATAAAATGTTTCTTACACGTATGACAAGCCAAATCTGCCTTTTAGAAGGTGCTATTGCTACCTGTGGAATAACTGGAAACAAGACAGGGTTTTTCTTTTCAATGGTTGGCTTTTACTCGAAGGTATTTAAAAAAAAATGGCAGTATTTGTAGCCTTGGGTATGTCCAAGATTAGTACTGGGTTGTCAAGATTTTCTTTTGTTAAAGGAAATAACAGGAAAATTGCCATTACTGCATCTACTGTACTATTCTAAACTTAAGATTCATTCCCTGATGCTTGGGCCAATGGAGTGAACCAGACCAATGGAAGTGCTGAATTTCCTGTGTACTTTTATGAATATTGCCTCAAATTTTCTTTTCCTACACCTGAGCCTGAATTAACTTGTAAATAATATTTTTTTTCACAAATTGATAGAAAAATGCGTTTGTGTTAAGTAGCAGGATATAAAATATGGTCACTTGTTACTTCCTTGAATCCTCCTTCCTTCTCTAGAACTTCAGGTACCTGATCAAACTTAACACAGGCTTTTATTGAAAGCATATTACATACAGTTATACACTTTGTAAATGATACAAATTTTAAAAAGACATAGACTTTGCTCTCAGGCTTAAAAATTAGAAGGTGAAAAGGGGCCTACATGACTGCAACAACGGATAAAAAGTGAGAAGTAGATTCAGCAAAGTCCACTGAAAAGTGTGGTGGGAGTTCAGACACTGCTTCCACTTGTGAATCAGGGATGGCCCCATAAAGAGGTGACATCTGAAATGGGCCTGAGATTCATCAGTTTTTCAATATGTAAAATTGATAGGATCTCATTTTATCCTGAGTTAAAATAACAGTTTTATCTCTGAACCAGGTCAGAAAGCAAGTCCTGCAAAATTACCTTTAGCTCATATTAATAACTAATCATTAAACACACAAATAACAACATATAAACAACCGACGTTGTACATGGAGAGCTGAACGGACTTTGTTGCCATGCTGCGTTTAAATATATCTGGAAGACCAGGGCTGCTGGATCTCATTCCAAAGGAAGAAGACTGGCAGGAGGCTCACAGTGTGACCTAATAAGAACAGAGATGGAAGTTACTCTGCATGAGGTGGAGGTGAGAACTGAAGAGTAAAAGGAAAGGGACTGAGGAAAGAAGGACTAAGAGGAGAGAGAGAGAGAGAGAGAGAGAGAGAGAGCGAGAGAGAGAGCAAGAGAGAGAGAGAAGAAAGGTGGGAAGACAAGTAGGGAGAGGATGAAGGAACAGGAAATATGGGCACAAAAAACTCACCAGCGCTTCCTAAGCCAAAATGCAAGAGCTGTCAGAAGCACCAGGGGCACCATCACTGCCAAGATGATCCAGCCCACGGAGCCTTGATGATGTTCTGTGGGTTTGGATGCACACAAGGTGTCATTTCAAACCCACCCCATTTAGTGCCTTTCCCTAGTCTGCCTTTTTTATTTGAGTGTTCGCCTCACTAATCTTTGTTCTTGTTTCCTCTCTCCTCCCTCTTCAGAGTTGAATCTTTCATCTAACCCTCAACATCTTCCTACTTCTGCAGGTTTCTCATTTTCAATTCTTCTATTTATTGAACTAGTTTCATTTTTTTGGGTCTGGAGTCCATAAATCCCAAATGTTTTACTTAGGTCTCCTGCTCTGCTTGTGGACCATCTACTCCCATTCCCAGTGTGGGCCCCAGTGTTTCTTACCCAGGTAGAGGAGGATGTCCTGGCCTCCTAGGCTGCTATGTCTCACCCGGCAATACAGGCCAGATGTCTCAGTGGCTTCCACCTCCAAGAAAACCTGAAGGTACCATGTGCCATCAGCATTGGGCAAGATACCACTTTGTTGAGTGCCCTGTTGTACCTGTTGACCTCGCATCCACTTTACCCAAATTGGCTTTGGATGGAAGCCAGAGACATGGCAAACCAGCATCTGACGGTCAGGACCAGGATTGGGGCCAGTGGACAGCCAGGCCTCTGGTTTTACTGCAGAGAACAGGAGAGATACTCAGATTAGGACTCTAACACAGACTTGGAGGTTCATATCTTCACATCAGCTTAGACAGACACATCTGCCACATGCTGGGAATTCATCACGCATTATCCTTCTCCCTCTTGACCCCTTATTCTCAATTTAAAGGGAAGGTGGGAAGGTGTAATTTTAGAAAATTCTTGGAGGAAGGATATGGGACTGACCTTGTCTCTGGAGATCGGCCTTCCCTGCCTCAAGAATACTCAAGAGCAAACGTGGGCAGGAGTAACTGAGAATCCTCTGTACTATTTTGTTGGCGACATGGTACTGATTGAATACTCTGCACATAGGCTGAGCTATAATTTCATCCTTTACAGATGGCCACCATGAACTGTTCTGTAAGTGCAGGAGCTCTGATCCTTGATAAGCGAATTGATTGAAGGCTACTATTGATCCCCCAGGGTGCAGCTCACAGCCTCCTATTATTTGTATCCCAAAGGGATCTAGGGAAGACGGTTTGTAAATTACAGTGGGGCCTTGACTTACGAGTGTCCCGACTAACAAGTTGTTTGAGATACCAGCTGTCTCTCGGCAGATTTTTTTGCTTTGAGTTGACAGAGTAATTTGAGTTAACGAGCTCCTTAACGAGCTTGGTCTCTGAACGAATTAAACTCGTAAGTCAAGGCCCCACTGTAGAGGAAAGAGGGAGTAAAGATGAAATTAGTGGAAGCAAAAAAAGGAAATAAGAAAAGTTTGGGGGATTTGAGGTAATGGAACAACGTTTGGTTTTATCAGGAGTTCAGAAAAAGTGTAATTGGTGGTAGTTGAAGGTAGAGGAAAAATGAATGCTTTCTTTTTTTGGAATAGAAGTGAGCAATTTGTTGAAAGAAGGTGACATAAATGGTGAGAGCAAGAGAATTAGAAAGTATGTAGTATGAGAGTTGTGATTATAATAACCCAGGGTGAATGAAATACAATAGGTTACAAAAAATATACAGAGAATGCTGAAGAGATTGAATGTGGGGAAAATTGGAATAAGGAACTCATTGAGACATACACCCCTCACCCAGCACATTGGGTCTCCCCATTTTGGGAATTGAACTTACATTTAAGCTGCCATTGACTGGCATGTCTGTGAATTTTGTGCGGCATTTCAGTGGAGAGCCTATGGTGGAACTTTACCATTACATTTATCTCTTCCTTGCTCAAGTTTCCGTTCGACCAAGGACGCAGGAAAATAATATTGTCAGTGTTGTCCCAGCCATGAGTCTGCACGTCATCCAACCAAGCTGATTTCCAAGTTTTCACCCAGGAATGGTTGTAGAAGGATGAGCTGTGGATGATTTTGAAGGTGATCTCCTCCTGGAAGGCTGTGGCAAAAGAACACAGAGAATGAGGAGAAGAAAAGGCATCTGGAAGGAGAGAGAATGAAGAAAGGCGCCAGGAAGGAAGCACTCAGAATCTGGAGATTAGGGAAGCCATGGCTACCTCAGCAGACATTCAGCTGCCCAGGGCCCCAGGCTTTACAAACAACCCTCAGAAGGGCACAGGGTCCCAGAGTACGGGATACTGAGAACCATGCTGACATTCTCCTCTCCAGGTATGTTCTGGGGACACCACACCACACAGGAACACACACACACACACACACACCCTTTTGCACCCAACAGGGCAGTTGTCAGAGTTCTTACCATCTTCATTGTCACCACTTGCGAGGAGAACAGCTAGCAATGGAATTTGCAGAAGCAGCATTTCAGTTAAAGATGTTACTTCTTCCTCAGGAAAGTTTGTGTTTAGCTTCTGTTTAAATAAAACTACTCCACAATACCTCTATTCTGACTTCCTTCATCTAACAACAGACAAAACAAAAAACAAAAACACCCCAAAAAATAACCAGTGCTCCTTCCCTAAACTCTAAACACCAATTCAGCCTTTCATTTCCCCTCCACTTCTGACTCTCTTATCTGGCTTTCAGCATCTTCCTTGTTCAGCCTTCATTCTGTACATCTTTCTCTAATTCAGCCTCTATGGGATAAGTTTAATGCACCATTGAAAAGTCAGTTTATCTCTGGAGATATTTCCTTCTCATTCAGACAATGAAAGCATAAAACTAAGTGGTTTTCCAATTTTTTCCTAAAGTTCTGTTGTCCCTGCTCTTTCCTGTCACTGTTCTTTTCTTGCCAAGTTTAAATTTTCTTCAAATACTCTCTTCTTCTGTCTAAGCCCCACCCCATTGTATCATATTTCTGACATCTCATTGGCTGATTTATTTGATTTTCAGGATCTCCTACAGTTGCCCTATGTAACAGTATATAAACTACTACTTCATTATCCTTAGAGAAGAACCGGTAGCCATCACACAGACCACAGGAACCTGCAAACATAAAGAAAAATCTCTGTTTGACTTGCATTGTTATATATTCATTTACCCAAGAGTCACTGAGCACCTGCCTGGATACAGGCACCTTGCAACACTCGTGAATATCTAGTGGTCTTTAAGGCAATCACTTTATTCAAGGAGCTTTCATTCTACTTAAGAAGGAAGCACATAAACTAAGGACTATAAACCTTGGTGTGTTGGGTTTCATTATAATGTATAGACTAGTCAAAAACAAGCCTCTTGAAACAAAGTCCCAACCCCTAATTGATGTTGCCCAGGCAGAATCTTGGCTCCAGTGATTTTCTCAGTGTGTCAGGTCTGTATACCTCTGTTGTACTGGGTCCCCAACTCTAGCAGAATGCCTCCTGGCAAGGTGCTCAGTGAATAAGTTTGAATGATTGAATAATTGGGTTCAGGCATCCAATTATTTTTTTCATTAGACAGATTTTAAACATTATTGTTTAAGGTTGTGGGGAGCCGACATGGCCATGGCATACTCAGCCCCACATTGGGAGCCTTATGTGCCGCACCAGCTCCGACAGGCCCGGTGACCCTGAGAGGGGATGGTGAAGGATGGAGAAAGGACAGACAAGAGAAGAAAGCTGCAGCTTGGTGGGACACTGTCCTCTCTGATGGAGAGCTAACGACAGCGCTACGGAATACAAGCCGTGTCTTTATTTTATAGCCAGATTCCACGAGGCAAAGTAAGGGTGTTTACAACATTCTCGTGGGTTTCGATCCTACTCAGTTATATGCACCTGAACTCTATCAAGCCCACATCACTCAGGCACGTGTGGCCACGTCCTGGGACCATAGGTTCAAGCTCACAACCATAGCTGTTGGCTATAATTGTGCGGGCTCCGCCCCCCAAGCTGGGCTTTGCACGTGGCCATGAGAGTATTGTGCCTTCTCATTAGTCGGACGCTTGATTCTGTCCAAACACTGTAGCCGCTCTCCACATAAGGTATCGGAAATCTTTGCTTGTATTTCTACTTGGTGAAATGAGAATCTTACAGTTTTATTTAGGATTTAAATATATGCTAATAAGCATGAGGTTTACACAGAGGGTTATGCTGCAAATCTATTAGTTATAATTTTTAAAAACAGTGACATTTTGTGGGAAATTAAATTAATAGAACATATTGGAGTTCTTTATCCAAGATTTCCTTCTTACTGGCCCTGCTTGGATGTTCCAGCTTATTTTATCATACACTGGTCTTTGCTGGCCATGCTGAACCTGTTCTTTCATGCTTATCCTGTTTAAAAGGCACTTAAAATGTTGTTTTCCTTTGTAACTTCTAGATAAATGTGCTCTATTTTGTTATTTACTTGTATAAAGTAAACAAATTATCTAAGGCTAATTCTTAAAATATTTTGGAAAAATTTAAGATTACCTCAACGAAAAATTAAAAAGCCAAAATGCGAGGCAATAAGGGTTTATTTGTATTGCAATTTGGGAAGCACAAATTCAAGCAGAAACCACATAGTGTTCTGATTACAGGATGAGAACCAGGGAATTTTAGGAGAAAAGAATGAAATAATTGCATAAATACAAAAAAAAGACACACAGATTTGGATTGGTGCTAACTAGCTGATAAACTAAATTACTCTATGGCTATTGTAGGGGTTCAGAACAGGCCTCCCCAGAATGTGCCACTTTAGCATTTGTATTATTTTGAGCCTTAGCATTGGAATTATGTTGAGCCAAAGACAATTAAGACCCTGCAGGTTTATAAGAAACTTTTACTTCTTCCTTAAAGAATTTAAATGAGGGGACTTGCCCATAATAAGCTTTTAGCAGAAACATTTTTAAACCAATCTACATGGCAGGACAGACTACTAGTTACTGAACATCTCTCATTATCAACCTTTTGAAGCCCCAACCATTCCTACCTCATCTTTACCTGAGAATTGCCTCTCATACCTCAATTTAAAAAGTGCCATGTGGTCAATCTGACAAGTTCAGTGACAGAAAGTAGCCTCACAGGGTGACCTGTCATAACTTGCTAACTAGGCAGGTCACAATGGGTAGTCATGCTCCAGGTCTATAACAGGTGTATCTTTGCCTTAAGCAGGCTCTGTCCATTGTTCTTGTGCATATAGGTGAACACACCTTTGAAATGTCAAAGGTAATCTTTTCCAGACCCCTCTCAGGTGTAACCACCTCAAGGGAGCACATACTCTTGTTAACTGTCCTGCCCCTTTTTGATGCCCGGGACTAACCTCCATGAACTGAGCCACACTGGCCAGGGCAGGACGCCCATGTTTTCCCCTGTGTCTTCAGATCTCCCTGGAAATCCGTCCTCTTGGTCCATTGGTGCTTAGGCTACAAGCATGCTCATGCTCTAACAGCTGTTACGTGGTGCTCCTCAAACACCATCAGAGCTCTGGAATGTCTCTGTCCTCTGAAGCTCTCCTCAGAACACAGACCAGGGCTCCCCTCCCACACAGTCTCACACACTCATCTGAACTCCCACTTTCCAGCAGCAGTAACCTCAACTTCCCTGCTAGAGAAACCCACTGCCTCTTACACTCATGTGCCTTTTACTGAGCTTCTTCTTTTCCCTCCCACTTGACTTCAAGCTTCTCTATCCTCTTTCTGGCTTCCAGCCTCTATGTGTATCTGCTGAGAGTGCTTCTTGCCCTTCAAAGCAAGTCTCTTGACCTAACAGGATCTTAGGACTGAGAGTCAAGATACATTCCTGGATGAGACACCTGCTGGATGCATTGAATTGGAAAAAACACATCAGCATTCTGGCCTCAGTTTTCTTATCTGTAACATAACTGGGTTGAAAGAAGTAAATGTTTTCTAATCTTGTCACCTTTCCCTCTAGCATTCTGTGTGTCTCACTGGGCTTCCATTGCTTTCCATCCATTTGCTCTTCCTCCCCATTTTGCTTTTCCCTCATTTTTTAAAAAAACTTTACTTTTCAATTAGTTTATGTTAAATATTATTTAGTATTAGTTTTAGGTGTACAGCATAGTGATGAGACAATTATATCCTTACAAAGTGTTCCCTCCAATATTTTCAGTACCCACCTGGTTCCATACATAGTTACTACAGTATTACTAACTATATTCCCTGTGTTGTACTTTACATCCCTGTGACTATTTCGTAACAATCAATTTTACTTCTTTTAAAAAATATATCTTTATTGATTTTAGGGAGGTAGAGAAAGGGAGAGAGAGATATAGAAACATCAATGATGAAAGAGAATCATTGATCGACTGCCTTCTGCATGCCCCACTCTGGGGACGAGCCCACAGTCGGGCATGAGCCCTAACCAAATAGAACCATGATCTCCTGGTTCATAGGTCGTTGCTCAATCACTGAGCCACCACAGCCGGGCTCAATTTTACTTCTTAATCTCTTTACTTTTTCACCCATTCCTCCAATCCTCCTCCCCTCTGGCAACTGTCAGTCTGTTCCCTGTATCTATGAGTTTGTTTCAATTTTGTTCTTTAGATTCCATGTATAAGAGAAATCATGTGGTATTTTTTTTCTCTGACTGGCTTATTTCACTTATCATAATACCTTCTAGAGTCGACCCACCGATGCTGTCACAAATGGTAAGAATTTGTTCTTTTTTATGGCCCTGTAATATTCCATTGTATATCTGTACTACCACTTTCTTACCCATCCTCTATCAATGGGAACTTGACTTGTTTCCATATCTTGGTCTTTCCTTGTATCTCACTTCTGCATGTCTTAGCAGTCATTCTCCATTTAAACCCAGCAGAGATCTCTCCATTTTTTCTTACTCTTTGTCCATTCAATATAATCTCAGTCTTTCCTTCCTGACTCACTTTCAAACCTAAAGCATTGTGTTATTGCATGACCCTTAAATTCCTGTGTATAATATGTAAATCACAGTTATGAATTTTATTTCTGGAATGATGGCACAAAACATAACTTGAGAAGACTGTGATAATTCTCCTGTGAAAGAAAGTACAAGAATGGAATGAGTCTCAATTAAATGTTTTATCTGTCTGGCCAGTGTTGCTCAGTGCTTGAGCACCGACCCATGAACCAAGAGGTCCCAGATTCAGTTCCTGGTCAGGGCACATACCCAGGTTGCGGCCTCAGCCCCCATTAGGAGGACGTGCAGGAGTCAGTTGATTGATGTCTCTCTCATTGATGTTTCTATCTCGCTCTCCCTCTCCCTTCCTCTCTCTCTAAAATAAAAACATATTTTTTTAAAAAATCTGTTTTATCTACTATATATTTGCACTACTTATGTGGCTTTGTTCAATTAGAGCACCAGAATATTGTTTGCAATGATTATGTCAGACCTTGGCAGTGAGACCTGTATATCCATGAAAATATTTCAATTGGTTTTTAATTTATAAAGATACCAAAAGTATTAAATTT